TTGATAGATGATCTTTACTATAATGGCTGCCAGATTATTTAAAGTACGTATTTATTAACTAGTTAAACTAAATGTATAATAGTTTTTGAGAAGGTAAATTACGCGTCCAATCTATGAGGCTTATACTGTATTGCTAGAATATTCTAGTGATGATAATGCAAACTCGAACAAAGAAGATGTAAAATAAAAGAGTAAGATCTGAGTTCAAAGCCTCTTCTGATTAAAAATTATAAAAGTATAGTAGTTTCGACTTTGTCAAAGTGGATAATCTGCGATTTATACATGTATTAAAAGTACTTAAAATCGTATATAATATAGTCGCTTAATAATAAATAAAAAAAATGCCTTCTCATATTGCGCTTCTTATCGTTATCATTTCTGCAAGAAATGGCCAATCGTGTTCATATGGCCAAGCCAAGTATAATCTCACCAAAGAAATGTCGCAAGTAATTAAGTGGAAATATTTTTTTCCTCCTAATGAGTAGCCTAAAATATTCTCAGGTGGTGATTTAGTTTTTATTTCGGGTAAATTTGTCGTCGAAAATTCTGAACAATGTGTTACTATAACATATGCAAGCATCATCGATAATAACCCTAGTCACGAGTTTGATACTACCAGTATTCCTCCGTGCATCCCTCATTGCATGTTTTCTGTGGTTGTAAATCGTAAGCCTAAAGAGCTCGGAGAATTCATCTATTTCGGTGTTAAATGTACTGAATATAATTCTGTTACTGGTAGTACAAATGTAAATATGCAAATGACAGTTCTTTATCATGCGGGTTCCTCGAGATTTCAAAATTATTTGGGCCATTCAGGTTCGAATATTAAATTAAACAATGCATACCTTGTATTGGGTCTCTTTAAATTTTCTACGTCTGGCAAAATGATGATTGAAGCAACTGTTGAAAACAGCAGCTGTTACCTATAATGCGCATGAAAATTATTCTTCATCAACTCCTGGTGCTCAATCAATTATTGACATCATCGCTAATGATATTGAATCTACTCCAACTCAAGTTCCAAAAGTTGTTGAACCTACGATCTCCTCAGTTAACTGTAATGCTACTGCTACCCCGGGTTCATCAGAAAATTTGGTAAATCCTGATTATTCATTATCTAAGAGAGATCAAAAACAATCTTCAGATTATATTGACTTGGATGAAGAAGATAAGCAATCGGATTATGATGATAATGAAAAGGATACAGAATTAGACGAAGAAGAAGAGAGTCAACCTAAGAAAAGAAAAAAAAGTGATAGAATAACCGAGAAAGAAAACAAAAAAAAAGTAAAAAATAAATATTATTTATTTTAAATATTATACCTTTTATTATAACTAGTAATATATAGTTTGATAGAGTTTTTTATTAATAAATACTTATAAGCTAACGCCTATTGTTTAATAAATTTATAAGGGCATATGAAATTAATATACTATAAAATATTTTTATTATGTCACATAATTTAAAATTATTAAAATAATCTAGGTCAATTATAAAAATTAATGATATAAGAAAGTCTAATTTATAAACTTTTAAAAAATTCTTATTAAAATTATGATTATAAAGCAGAGCCTAGTAATATAAAATCAAATAATGTAAATTTAAAATTAACCAATTTATGAGGTAATCTTAATTAAAATCAAAAGTACAATTTAAATAATTTATAGTTACTTAAAGTATACAATTTCTTCTGTTATTATTTTACCGATTTCCTGTAAAGTAGAACTATTATTGCATGATTTCCGATAAAATTTATAAATACAATTTATGCCGCCAATGGCTGATACAGTGAAAAATATTGAACCATTAGGTTGGTTAAATAACTTTTAAAAAGAGGACACAAAATTGAACGAGGTGATTTTGAACATGTGGTCCAGGTTGGTCGAGACAGCCACAATTCAGTAAGAATAGATTTGATTGTCAAAAAGAATAGTAAAGTTTTTGCCGTAGCAGAAGTAAAAAACAATTAATTGTATTTGATTAATTAATTGCTTATATGAAACAATTGTAAATTATCATTATATTAATTGATAAATTGCTTATCTTACTGTAAATTACTTAGGAAATGCCTATATAATCGATTATAAAGCATCATAATATTTATATGGAGGTGAGTCAGTAGAAATGGGACAAATTTATTAGATAAATTTGTCCCATTTCTACTGACTCACCCCCATATATCATTTATAAATCGTACATCACTTAATTTTAATGATCATAACGTTCCTGTTAAAAGTTTTGCCACTATAATGAGTTAGTAGAACAATTACAATAATCATGTAACAGGATTGATACAATATGATTTTAAGAGTTTAAAATTACTAATTCATAATGATTAATTATTCATTTTATATATGTACATACGTACGTATGTATTTTCTACTTAAGTCACATTATCATTTTAAACTGGGTTGTAGATTATAATTTTCGAGAAAGTTTATTACATGTATGATCTACAAGGCTTAGGGTAATAATATGCCTAGAGATGTGCTATAAGCATTATGCAGGCGATGTTGCATGCTACATAATACTGCATAATGCGATGCCAGTTGTCTAAAATTTAAAAATGCACATAGAAGTTATTATGTAATTTTGATCTATATCATTTCATCAACAATTACTTCATAGACATCTGTTCCTGTCATATTTATAGCCTGTGAAATCCAATAAAAAATTAATCTACCAGGTCTGTTTTCACTATATAAATCTAATATTTTATGTTTTCAAATCTGATAATCTCTCAGTAATAATACATAGTTTGTTCACTATATAGGTTTTAAGAGGTCACAATATATTATATAGAACTGCATAATATATCATGCATTATGTAATGCAAGGCCAAAAAAACTTGCATTCGCACATCTCTAAATATGCCATTCTCAAAGCCTCTTAATCTTCATTTGTTATAAAAGAGCTGCATTAAAAAAATAAGAACTCATATCAGTAATCTTAAAATATTATACAATTATACACTATTTATATTATTTTATATCTCTATAACTATGATAAATATTCTGACTAGAGGTGAATCTAGAAAAAAAAAGATCGTGAATGAAAAGCTGCCAAGTGTAAAGATAGCTTATTTAGAAAATCGAAAATGATAAACAAAAAAAACGTCAAGCTAATTTATATCAAAATGAAGAATATATTCACTCACGTAATATAATACAAGAAAATTCTCAAAAATGACAAAAAATTTTGATTAATTCTTAAGCAGAAAATTTAGCTGTTCCTTCACGCATTCTTGAGATTGATCAAGATTTTGAAGAATCTCTTATTAAATATGCAGCATGGCCTCAGCAAATTCATCCAGATATAAAGAAAAATGTACTAGCTGAATTTCACAATAAGATCAATTTTGACAAGCTTCGAGAACTACCTTGTGCCATTTGTTCCAGACTTTATAACTGTAAACTTTATAAAAGAATTTTAGTAATGGATATTGACCTTTCTATACTTAAAGCTCCAATCGATCTTATAGATCCATCCTTTGAAATCAATTTTAATTATCAACATCCTTATATTAATTCAATTGAGACTAATATTCTTCTTGATCGCTCTGGTTTCATTTATAATAATCCTCCAAATAATAATAACCCTTTTGACTTACGTATCTGCAATGAATGCTACAATTATCTGAAAAAACATAAAATTTCACCATTATCTTTAGCTAATCATATGTGGATTGGATCTACCCCTTCATGCCTTCAAGATTTAACAATTCCGAAACAAATTATAATTTCACCCGGATATTTATGCATGAATTTTATTCAATTAACTAAAAAAAACATACACATCACAAACTTAAGGGACATATTATAACATTACCTCAAAATCCAAGCTCACTAATTAAAGTATTACCATTACCAATATACAAATTATGTGAATATTTAAAAGTAGTGTTCGTAGGAGAGGAAACACCCACTAATTATCAGCTCAAAAAAATACTTCAAGTAAGAAAAAGCAAAGTTGCAACTGCACTTCGCTGGCTTTTTGTACACAACAAATTATTTAAGGATAATTATACAATCGATGAAAATGCTTTAAACCTATTACCTGAAGATGAAATTCCTGATTCTTTATGTTTAACAACTACTATAGTAAACATCAATTCACAAGAAGTTGAACACTATACAGGTTATACTCAAGAGACAGATAGTGAAAGTGATTATGAAGCTTCTGATAATAATAATTATGTTTTAAATAGCTTTATAAAAAACAATACAATTGGTAATGCAAATGAACTCAGGCCTTCTGGAATTATACAAGTCAATAACATACCAATTACTAAAAAAGTACTTACTTTACATTCTTTTCAGAATCTTATAGACTATTCAAACAAACAATCAAATAATCAATTACAAAATGAATATAATACTAAAATAGAAGATGTGTCTCAAATATTATATGTACCACATGGCCATATACCTTTTAATGAATATGAAGATAAATCTCTTTTACCTGCTGCCTTTTCTGTTCTCTTTCCATATGGCATTGGTGGTCATAAAGTTCGATTATTACATATATCTTTAAAAAAATATACCAATCACCTTATGCAGCATCATGATCCAAAGTTTAGACAATATAGATCATTTCCTTTTGTTATTTTTAATATCTTACAACGATGTGAAGTATCTACTGAAACATATAACTTAACCAAAAAGAAAATTTTTGATTATTCTGCAAAATTAATATCATCGCTTAGCCTTGATGATATAAAATTAGCTATTGAACAAGAACACAACAAGCTTCCAATTACAAATCCTTCAATTAATGAGCTACTTAAAAATATTAATATAGCTGGCTCTAATTTGATGGCCTCTCCACAATCACGCACTCATATACGTAATTAAATATGTGCTATCATCCTTCGTAATAGTTCTCACTCTCTATTTATCACTATAAATCCTGCTGATCTTCACAGCCCTATTGTTATGATGTATGCTGGAAATGAGATTAATTTTAAAAATATATCTTCTAAAAATTTTCCAATGGCTACAGAAAGATCTCAGCTTGTATATCTTGATCCTTTAGCTGTTACCAAATATTTTAACATTATAATTAAATCTATTTTAAATACTATTGTTGGATATGGTAAAAAACATGGTGGTGTTTTTGGTAATGTAATAAATTATTATGGTGTTGTAGAATATCAAGATCGTGGAACACCTCATTGTCATTTACTTATATGAATTTATGGCTCACTTAATCCAATTGAGTTATGTCAAAAACTTAAAGATGATAAAGCTTTTTCACAACAACTACTAACATATATAAGTGATATTGTTAAAGAAGATATTAGCTATTTACTTAAAAAAGATGAAATCTTAACAGATGAAATGCTCGAAATAGAATATAAAACTCCAAAAACAATAGAAGAGAAGCGAATGCATCCATCTTTTTTTCCTATTCCAGATTCTTATTCACCTAATTTTGAAGAAAATTTTAAATTAGATTTGCTTGCAATTGTTAAACACACTTTATATCATCATTGTACTCAATTATGTAAAAAGTATAATAGAGATTTAAAAAAAATTGTAGATTTGACTTTCCAAGAGAACTTGTTAGTCCACCTGGCACTATATTTCCTGATCAAGGCATTATTGCTATTTAATATACTAATGCATTAATTAACAATCATAATCCCTATATAACATCTGCATGTAGAGGAAATAATGATATAAAATTTATTGCATCCAGAAAACTCTCCTTAGCTTATATTTATTATTTAACAGATTATATCACTAAATTAGATCTAAGCACACATAGCTCTTTTTTAATATGTACTTCAACCCTGAAATCCTTTCTAAAGCAACCTTCTGATAAACATTCATTAGATATTGTAAATAAATCCTGTAAAATTATAACAAAATGCCTTAACAAAATATCTGGTCAAATTGAGCTCACAAGTCCACAAGTTTTGGCATATTTATTAAACATTTGTGACTATTATACACCAAATAAATTTACAACAATATATCTTAAAACTTTTAAAATTTATCTTACAAAATAATGGACAAAACAAGTTCAAAATATTACTATTAATAACGAATTTAGTAGTGACTCAACTACTGACAACAATTATGATTAAGAATCATTTTTTATATCAACATTCAACAATAAATTAACTACTGCAAACCTTCGCATTGATTACCAATTCAGAGGTTCATCTTTACATAATATATGTTTATACGACTATGCTGCTAACATTCAAAAAGTTTCAATTAATTCACATGAACTTCCAGAATTAACAAGTCAAAATTTAAGTAAAAAAGTAATTACTATTTTTTTCATAAAGATAATTTTATAGATAATTATAATAAATCAAAAGGTAAACATCCTCAAAATAAATCACATATCCAAAAACTTAGAAAAAAAGGATATGAACGTATAGTTGTATTAAGTAGTAAAGGTATACCAAAAAAGGATAATATAGAAAATATTAAACACTATGCACTATATATACTTATGCTATTTAAACTATGGGAAACTGTTAATGACTTACAAGAGAATTATGATACATAGAATAATGCTTGTCAATCTTTTTTAAATAGTTCTTCTTTATCATTATGTCTTAAATCTATAATTTCTAATATAGAATTACTTCATCAATATTCAGAAGAAACCACTCTTGACCAAAAATTGCATCAAAATGCAATAAATAATCCAATTTTTGCAAAAGCCTGCTGCATTAATCGTTCTGTACCTGGGTATGATGCCGATAATAAACCAAATATTTTAGATAATGATAATCTAACAACAAATAACCCTTTAGACAAAGATGCTATTAATTTTAAAATTATTAGATCTGGACTAAAAGATATAAGAATGGTAGATGATGCTATAAACTTTTTACAACTTAGAAGAAGATTTAAAATATTAAATTCTGCATTATATGCTAAAATTAATGATAATATTAACTTACAAAACATATGTCAAAGTAATATTCATGATGATGAGCTTTTAAAAATTTGGCACTCAACTATTATATCTTGAAAAAATTTTTGGAAAATTTCTAGTAATAATAATACAAAAGACAATATATCTTTAAATACCTATACCAATTTTCCAAATAATAAATATCTTAATAATACCTTAGATATATCTACACATGATTATAAAGATTCTTTAGAACAATTTATAACAGATTTAAATGATGAACAAAAAAAAGCATATTTTCTTGTTTGTAATCACCATTGAAGAAACCATCCAATGAGTAAAAATATGCCATCTCAATTACTATTATATTTTACTGGTGCAGATGGTGTAGGTAAATCTAAAGTTATCGATGCTATCTGTTCTTACTTTAAATATAATAATAAACAAAATACTCTTCTTGTCCTTGCTCCAACAAGATGTGCTGCTGCAAAAATTGGTGGAAATACCCTCTATTTTGCATGCAGATTTGGTTTTGGAGAATCTTTCAAAAATAAGTGTAATTTATCTGAAGAGTCATTACAACAACTCCAAAAATACTGGGCTTTAATAGAATATCTCATTATAGATGAAATATCTATGGTTGGTCAAAAACTACTTACTCAACTGCATACTTTTATAAAAAAAGTAAAAGCAACAAATGACAATATCCCTTTTTCTGGAATTAATATTTTGTTTGCTGGTGATTACCTCCAGTTTTAGACTCTGCCTTATATATACCTAATAAATTTACTCATATATCTACTTAATTTAACCCACAGTCTATAACTGAAAACAAAAATTCTTCAAAACAAAAATCTTTAAATATTAATACTCGCACTATTATTAATATTATAGAAGAAACCTTTGGCTAAATATTAAACATGTTATAATTCTAAAAAACAAATGCGTCAATTAGATGACCCTAATTATGCTTGTATACTTAAAAATATGCATGAAGAAAATCTCAAAAACATCAAAAATCTACTTTAAACTCAAGAATTCTTTGAGATAACTGAATTAGCTCACAAGAATGGAGAGATGCTACTTTTTTTGTATCAAGAAATGATCTCTGTGTTCAACTTAACTTTGAAGCAACAAAAGAACATGCATATTATCAAAATAACTTTCTTGTATACTCTTGTACACAAGATTCATATAATAGAAAAATTCTTACCAGAAATAACCATCTTAAATTTTTATCAACCCCTGATACAAAAGAAAATGCATTATGTGGCATTTTACCACTATAAATTAATATGAAAATTATAATAACTGTAAATATTTGCGCAAATGATAATTTAGTTAATGGTATACAAGGAATTCTGCATCAAATTATTTATAATAAAAATTCTATCCATTATTCATTATCACATGATAATACAATAATACTAAAATCTCCTCCAAAATATGTTATTATCGAATTAATTGGTAAAACACCTGGTTCTTATGAAAACCTTCCTCCAAACTACATACCTATTTACCCAATTAAACATGGATATGTATACACTATTTGGAGTCATGATGGATCAAAAATCCAAAGAAAGTTTCACCATTTTCAACTTCCTCTAACTCCTGCATTTGCACTTACTAATTTTAAATGCCAGGGACAAACTCTTCAAAAAGTTATAGTAGATCTAAAAAACAGTAATACAAGTAATGACATATATATAATGCTTTCACATGTCCAAAGACTAAATAATTTATTATTTTTACACCCTTTTAATAAATCAATATTATATGCTAAAATTAATGATAATATTAACTTACAAAACATATGTCAAAGTAATATTCATGATGATGAGCTTTTAA